ATTGGTGTTTTGTTTGTGCATTGATATTTGGTTCGTTTGGCTCTCTTGGATTGGCGTTTGGTTTGGTTCCTCGACACAGCTTTGGTTTGGTTCCTCGACACAGCTTCAGGCACAACAGTTTCCACCCAACGTGGAGTAGCATCACTCTCCACCCGCTGCGATGTCCCAAAGATCTGATCACCACTCTCCACCTGCTGAGAGTCAAACGTGACATGCCTGCTCAGAACAAAGTCAGAAGCCAATACCTGATAATCAAACACGCCTCTGAATCCCAAATGTGCTATCGGATCAAATCTCACATCCTCGATGTGACTAAGTGCTGGGTAGCCAAACATCCGACGCAACCCAAAATCTGAAGCAGCTCCACCAGATCCCATATCTATACATGCAGCAGTCGGCAACCTATACATGAGACGGTCCAAACATGTCGTAGCCTACACACCAATGCCAATGCTCAACATCAAACGCCGATCCTCCTCCAGAAAGGAACAGCTGCCCAAATCTGCCATCTCGCCTTGTCGCCTCAAAGTTTCCACACCAATGAAGTGTCTCCTATTGCCGTGAGCTCGGCACAAGTGCAAGAAATAACCCCTACCAAACTCAGAACGTCGGGTTACCTTTCTACCAACACACTTCCTCCATCTGTTGCGGGCTTCTAGGACTTCACACCAACGAGACTTGGTTGCAACCCACCAATGCCTAGAGAAATCCCTAACTGCGGAAACCACATACATATTACCTCCCAATAATGCTCCCTTGGAAGGCCCCCGAATGCCTGAATGAACACCCCTCAGAAAACCCCTCAAATGATGGATAGAAATGTCAAACTCCATCTCGGTCTTCTCGCTCATACCAATGGGTTCACAGGACTTCAAACTGCAGGTCAAAGCACTCCTCAATAACCTATGCACGGCATTACCAATCAAATAACCCAGCATCAAACAACGTCACATTCTAGCCGAATCTGATGAAGTCATCATCTCCCTATCAATCGCCGTGCTTCCGAGCAAATAATACAAATTGCTCCTTCTGACGTCCTTCATAACAATCATGGACCCAAATGTGACCTTCAATCGTGCATCTTCCAAGGTCACTTTATAGCCAGATGCCACTAAAGCTCCTAGTGAAATGATGTTCTTCGACAGCTACGGAACGAACCTCACTCCTTCCAACTCCTGAATCACTCCGTCATACATCCGAATACGGACGGTACCAATACCACCAATAGAGCATGCATGTCCATTACCCATGAGCACAACATCCTCTCTTTCCAACTTCTGAAAGCTGGAGAACCAATCCCTCCTAGGGCATACGTGGTATGAAGTACCCGAATCCAACATCCACTCTGTAGAGTTGGCAAAACAAACTGAAGGTAGTGCAGACAATGAATAACCCGAATAATCCGAATCTGAATTGTTACCACTAGTCTTGACAATATTCACCTCTGAAACTTGTACAGCTTTCCCCTTATTCTTCTCGGCTCGATCTAAATTTGGGCATTCGGCTTTCCAATGTCCATCCTCTTTACAAAAGGCACACTGATTCCTACGAATCCCACGATGTGCACCTCTAGACTGCGACCTCCTGCTTTAGTTTGAACCACGACCATGAACTACTAATGCATCTCCCGATGCCTTCTCGGAGGACTCATCAACACTCTTCCTCAACTCATAATTCACCAACGCTGAGGTCACCTCCTTGTAACTAACAGTAGTTCTTCCATTAATCATAGTTAGGACAAAAGTACCATAATCATCCTTAGGCAACGAACACAGAAGTAGCATCGCCTTGTCTTCATCATCAACCATGATATCCACATTGGCCATGTCTGAAAGTAGCTTTGTGAAGTTGTTGACATGCTCCCTGATGGAAACTCCCCTCTTCATCTTGAACTGATAAAACCTCTTCTTCAAGTGAAGCCGATTCTCAATGCTCTTAGTAAGATACTTTTCATTGAGTGTTTCTCACATCTTCTTCGCCGAAGTCTCGTTCATCAAGTCATAAATAAGATCCGGCGTCAAGCATGACCGAATAACTCCACACGCCCTACTATTCATCTTCTTCCAAACCTTAGCTTCCATCTCGGCAGGTTTCTCTTTTAACTCAAGAGTCTCCTCCAAATTCTGAGCGTCCAATGCATCCATCACCTGACACCTCCACAAACCAAAATTGATCTTGCCATCAAACTTCGGAACATCGATCTTCATGTTATTGATGCTCAAACTATGCATCGTCTTCGTAAAAGACGATCCCGATGTGCTCGCTTCACCCATGTTGTCGATCTAACTCTTCAAATAGGAATCCTTCAGTGAATCCTTCAAACAAGCCTCAAGTCGAACCCGAAGCTCTGATACCAATTGTTGTGCGCGGCGCGGAAGCGGTCGAATCACACACAATCCAAACAAGAGAGATCACAACCAAAATCAACAAGCACAATCACCAATAACAAGAGATTTACGTGGTTCGGCAAGTTGCCTACGTCCACGGGGCAAGGAGGGGGGAGTTCTTACTATTAGAAATCAGAGAATACAAGTAGAGTTACAAATCTCTCAGACCAAACCCTAAAACAATGTTCTTGATCTCTCACAAACTTCATGCACGTTCGCGATCGACCGCACCGGCCCCCCGCCAGTCTGCCTGGCAGATGGGTTTGCTGTTTTCCTGTAATTCTTCATTATATACATTAATCTCTAAAATTACCAATATCCTTCGACTGTCGATATTATAAAAAAGTTCTTCAAAACTATAAATTACACAAAATAAGTTTCACCGCTATAGATGCAAGGGGGGTGTTGCCAGACCAAGGAAATATCTGCCTTTTATTCTGATTTTTATCTATTCCTATTTTATTACAATTATTTAGCTAGCAATTTAGTTTCTTTTTATCCAAGGTTAAAGAAAATCTCTGGCTTACAGTTGATAATTAACAAAATTCGGTTAATATGCTCACTTCTTTAAGTTTACAGATTTCTTGAAAGTGATTTTAACGTACATGATATTTCTGGTTATTTTTCTGAAGTTCCTCTAATGAAAATAGTTGTTGATAGTTTTTTAAATGATATATATATATATATATATATATATATACA